TCCCGGATCACACGCCACCAGCAACATATGTGCACAATTTGAGGGGGGTGGCACTGCCCCCACCCCAATAGCTCACCTGTCCTCTCTTAGAATCTTGGCTGAGATGCCAGCCCCTGGGCGCTGTGTCCCTGGGAGTAAACCAGCAGTGATGACCCCACCCCCACCGTGTTGTTGCAGGGATTAAATGCATCGATTGACTTGTAGAACTTAACACAGAGCCTGAAACCTAACAGGAGCTCGATAAATGGTGGCTGTGACAAGAAGGCAGATGAGGACCAGGAGCAGGGAACTCGGCTGGTGTCTTCCTCCCTAAACTGTCTCAACACCCAGCCACAGTGGATACCTCATGGCATTCACAGAGTGGGCCTGGCTGAAGGCATACAGGCAGGCCTGCAGCCGGAGGGTCTGCCCAGATCAGAATGAGCCCAGCCTTGCCTCTTAGGGGTCTGAGCTCCATCTTGGCCTGGCCGGCCTCATCCAGTGAACTTAGCCCAGCCCAGTGAGAGGCTCTCAGCACAAGACTCTGAGGGGGTGTCCCCAAGGCTGCTGGCATCTCCCTCCCTGGTGAACCCCACTGATCTGATGCCATCTTGCTGTCCCTGCATGGCTGGCACTCCCCACACCATGCCTTAGCATCTGTCAACCTGCAGGGCACGGCGGGACCTGGCTTAAGATTTTTACTCGGTGCCAGAGTGAGGGCAGATAGGGGTTTCACTCATTTTGGTGTACTAGGCTGCCTGTCTGATCTCTGTGCCCACGAGCTACGTTCTCTGGTCACTTCGGCCTCTGCCCAAATTCCCACTGGGGATGTCCACAGGGAACAGAGCAGCCTTTCATTAACCAAATGGGGCAGGAATTTCCTGCATAGTTCCAATCAGTGCACATTCTTGAGCCAAATACCCAACAGGCTTTTGAAGGATTTCAAAGGCAGCATGACTAATGTAATGTTTTGATTGGGAAGCGAGGAGAGAGTTCTCAGCAACCCACTCTTCTTAATTACATGAATCAAACACCTCCTCGAGGGTAGCCAGGGAGCCTGTGTCAGCCTTTGGTTCCCAGCCCTCCTATCCTGCCCACTGACCAGCACAGAGAGGCCAGTGCCTGTCAAATGAGTAAGCACAGGAGCTACAAGTCCACCTGCTTGGGACAGCAGATTTTATGTGTGATTCTATAGTGCTGATTCTTAATTTCTGCTCCTGGTCCCAGATTCCTTATGTAAATCTTTCAACTATTGTTCACCTCGAAATTTCAATGTGCTTCGAATGACGGATCAGCTCGGGAGGTGCCAGGCTTGCCCATTGAAGCCCCATTCAAGTTCAGGGGTGGGGGAGGGGTAAAAGAAGGGGATTTCAAACTTGAAAAGCCAGTAATATTGTAAAAGCCAAGGGTGTTGAGGTCCAGGGTCCAACAACATCACAGGGCACAGCACTCCAGTGCCCATTTCCTTCCCTCCCCCAGCCAGCCCTTCCTCCTCCTTGCCCCCAATCACCACAATTTCCCTTCCACAAATCAGCCTTTGCCAAGTACTTCCATGCATGCTGTTTGGTTCTTGGTCGATCTGTATAACTGAGACCTTCCCCAATCTCTTCCTCCTACCCCAAGACAGCTGTGTTTCCAAATGTCTTCCAGATTGACCTCTGCCAGGAACCAGGACATCTATAGGCAGAACTAGCCCCTTTCTAGTACAACCCTCACCCACCCCTCCAACACTCTCTCTCCACCTAAATTACCATTACCTGAATGCCTACTATGTGCCAGGGGAAGGGAACTAATAGCTTCACTGAGCACCTCTCCAGGTTGTTGTTTTGTCTCCTTGCACCCTGTTTCATCCTGCTCTGCAGACATCATAATTATTCCCATTTTCCAGCGAGTCTCCAGAGGCTGAGGGAGGCTGACGGCTGCTCAAGGGCCCACTCTAAGTGGTATCAGCCCTCACCGGCTCTGGGCTATCTACTGCACCCTCAGACCCCTCCTCACCTGTCCAAAATCTGCCCATCACACCCTATATGAATGAGTATACCCTCTGCATTAGCCAGAAGCCCAGGGAAAAAAGAAATGACACTCAAAGGGGTCATTCATGAAGGAATGGGCAGGGTAATAGGGGCCGCCTGCAGGGATGGTTTGGGCAGGTCCCCAGAGCTTGTGACAGCAGGAACCATCACCACCCCAGACCTAAAAGGGGGAGCAGAGTGGGAAGTGACCAGAACCCAGAGCCAGAACTGGACACAAGACTGTGGTAAGGGCCTTGGGACTTTATGTGAGTAGAGGCAGCCAGCTCCGGACACTGGGGGGAAGAGGCTTGCTCTCCCCCGATCTCCCTCTCTCTGATCTCCTGTAGATTCTCATCTTTGATCAAAACCAACAGGAAGCCATAGGGCAAGGGGTCCAGATATGTTCCAAAAAGATCCACCTCCCTAGACAAAAAGCAAGTGAAAACTCTGTATCCGTAACACAAAGGACATGTGAAGTCCCACCCACAACTGAATGGCTGCAGGCAGTGTCCACTGCATCAGTCCTCCTCTGAGTTCTCTGATCCCCAAAATCCCTTTTGTAACCACAGCTTTTTCCATAGACCCCTCTCCCTCTGTCAGGGACGGTCTCTTTGCCTTGAGGGTGAATCAAGCCTCATTTCTTTGAGGTCTGAGTCTTTGGTGGCATTTATATTGCATTGCCCAGTGGGCTGGGCCAGGACTTTGCGTGACAAGCACAATCTTCCATCTCACCCCCACATGATGTAGAAGCAACCCAATTCACCATGGCACCTGGACCATCTCCTCATGCCCCTTCTTTGCCTCCTTGCTGAGCTATATCAAGAACCTCAAACATCCATAAGACATTTTAGCTGTAACCCAGAAAAGTAAGAGGAACCTCTTCTTAGGGAGGCACAGGATCATTTACATGAATTACTCCCCATTAAGTCTCAGCACATCCTTGTGAGGTGACTGCCCCTATCCCAGTCAATAGATGGGAAAACAGGTTCAGAGCAATGGATTCACTTTTCCAGTGAGACCCAGCACTGATATTCAGGCCTAGGACATTTCTGAAGTGTGGCTCTTTCGTGGCCCCCACTGTCACCTTCTAACTGTATCTGCCACAGTAACCCTATGAGTTAAATGCCCCTGCCTGGACAGACACACAGACAGACAATCTTTTGGACTGCTAGGGCCCCCTCCCTCAGCAGGACCCAAATACCGCAGAACATGCAGGAGTAAAATGTTCTCTTCATCTTCTGCTTAGGACCTGCCAGGATCCCTTGTCTGGATCAGCCAGCTCAGGAATCACCTCAAGAGGCCTCCACCCCAGCCTGTGCCAGGAGGCCGAGCCTGATAAACAGCAGCCACCTTCAGGGAAGGAGCAATCGAAGATGGAGCCTTCACGATAAATCACCTGCACAGAAGCCCAAAGCCTTTCCCATGCCCCTTCAAATTAAAAGAGTTCCCTCTCCTAATATATTAATTAAAATGAAATATTAATAGCTGACCTTTATTATTTATGGGCTGTTTGGGGAGAATAAAATATTGAGATCCAAAGAGGAATCAATTTCAAGGAAAACTCCCTCTCCAGAGCAAGGCTTGATTCGTGCCACATAATAAAGAGATAAGCTTATCAGCTGCATCAGTTCAGAGACTTCTGCTGTAAATGTTGATTCTGAACCAATAAGAAGATTAGAAGCACTGTCATAAAATATCTCTCCAGGATGTAAATTATTCAAAGCCCTTCGTGGGCAGACACAGGATCTCATGCCTCAGTGAGCCCTGTTCTATGCAACACATTTCATTTATTAAAGCTGGAGAGGGCCTCTGTTGATAAAGCCCCCTAAATAAATGATAACCTTCATCTCCTGCTTCCAAATTATTTCCACGATTAGAATGTGAAATGTTCGTGCCAGAGGTGTCAAAAGGGCTGCCTTTGTGAGTGAAGGGTATGTCTTCATTGGGAAGCTCGGCGCCCCAGGGCAGCCAGCCCCCATTCGGAGCAGGGCAATGGAGGCAAAGAAGCAAGCTCCAAAGGCTCATCTTTATAACGTCTGAGCAGCCGGATAAAATGGGATAATGTCATAAAGGGATTGAAGTCCACAACTTCTTTGCCACTCATTCTCAGTATGACCTTGACCTCTGGTGTGTTATTCAATTTCTCTAAGAATCTCTGGTAAATGGAGGTAAAGAGTGTATATGTACACCCATCAGACACTCAGTCTCACAGGAGGCTCTCAGTCAATATCCCTACCCTGATCACCAGTCATGGCGGACACCCCAGGAGGGACACAGTTTCTCAGCAACTCAAGGTCTCCTGCAGCATCATGGAGTATGCCAGGCAGTTCTGCCCCAGAAGGCACTACAGCAGGGTCACACTGTATTTATCTCTGGCCTTCATTATATAAAAACCAGATAAACCCTACCCATCCTTTAAGTCCCTAATTCAAATGCCACCTCCTTGAAGCATTCTGTGATTTCCTCACTTAGATTCTGTCTCTTCTTTTCATCCTTCCTGAAACACTATGGAGTGCCCATCCTACACCAACTACTGCTGTGTGTAATCTTGGGTAATCTTCTTTACACCATGGCAAGGCAAGTCCGTTTGCCATATTTTAAAGACATAGGGTGGGGTGGGGGTTAAATGTCTTAATCAAAATCACACATTGAGAAAGAGATGGGACTGGGATCTGAACCCTGTTTGACCTGGCTCCCAAGTCCACGCTCTTTCCTTTTATTTCCACTAATCGCCCTGCTGCAGGGCCTTGGCACAGTACTTCCAATCTGGAAAATTTCATCAAAAAGATTGAGGATTCTGTGTTTCACTGGAAAAAGGCCTCAGTGAGCCCTGAGGCTCACTGCAGCACTGTACTGCAAATCTCACAAGCCCTGTGGGAGCTTATCACAGACACTACAGCTCCATCTGCCTGGCTCCCTGCTGAACCAGCCCCCGGACAGTCAGGGTATCCCCAGAATCCATAGACAGGTCTCCTCCATCTCAGACCCAGGATGACAATGCAAGCTCACCTCCATTTCTCCTGCTTCTCCAGTCACCATTCTGTTCCTCAGTTTCTTCATCTGTCAAATAGGCAGAATCACAGGTAGCTGCAGGCAGCAGCTGTGAAGAACAATAGAGTGTGAATGCAGAATGTTTTGAACAAGGCCAGCACATAGATTGGGCTCAAAGACAGCAGCTACCTTGCCATTTTCTTAGAATTTTCTGTCTGCTTCATTCTGATTCCGATGCCACACTCCCCCACTTCATACCAAGCCCTGCACCTCCACTCAGCACAAAGCCTGGCATAGAGCAGATGGTCAGCACATTTGAGAATTGCCAGTAAATTCTTTCCTGTGCTCCAAAGCCAGGTGCTAACCTGTGATGGGCGCAGCTGCATAAGTGTGCAGGGGGCCCAGGCCCTGGCATCAGAGAGGCTGGGGGCTGAATTTGCCTGTGACACCTCCCAATGGACTAGTGGATGGTCTTGGTCCCCCCACTCAGTCCTCCCTGAGCCTCCGCCTTCACACCTATAAAATGGGAGTAGGGGAGGGCTAGATGCCAGAGCTGCCCAGTCACTGTGATTGGAAAGAGAACATCTACGAAGTGGTCAGCACATACAGGGACACCTCAAATGCTCATTTCCCTCCACCCTCTCCCCACCTTATCTTTCACACGCCCTCTTGTTCTCCCAACTTGCTGCCTACTGCATCCTCTGCCGTGAGCGTCAGCAGAGAAGCACCATATTCCACTGCATGCCTGCCTTTCTGTGTCAGAGGTGCCTCGTGTTGACCCCGAATCCTCTCAGGGGACAGGGAGGGAGGTCATCAATGCCCCAGAAGCAAAGACCAGAGCCCACCTCACACTGAGTGACTGTGGCTGCTTAGATATGGCCCACAAAGGTCCATGGAGTGAATTTTTAAAAATATTTATTTAATTTATTTATGCATACAAGAGCTGGGGTACAGGCCAGAGGTGCAGGGGGTGAAAGGATTCACCAGGGACAGCGTGGGGAACAGAACAGGCAGATTGACTGAAATACACTGCTGAGGGGAGCAGTGGGAGAGACAGGAGGGGTCTGCTACACCATGTGGGTAGCTATCTGGCCGGGGATCGAACTCATTCTCCAGTGGCTTCACAGTGCTAAGACAGACAGACACACACACACACACACACACACACACACACACACACACGCAAGAACCACCGCCCATGTGCAAGGAGATCTCCTTGCAATTCATCATAAAGTGTGGGCACTCTGCACACCTACCACCCAGCATGCACACGCCATCTGATCAATTTTGCTCCCAAGCAATCCTGCCTTGTCAAGAGCTGACAATCAGACATGCAAAACAAGTGCTCTGTATGAATTTTACAAAAGTATCACTTTGGGAAAACAGAAACCAAAACAAATTGAGAAATCATATAAATAATTACTCTAAACTTCAACTCTAACATGAAAAAGGAAGGCACACAAGCAGAAATGCTAATTAATATGACTGTTTAATTACAGGGGCACAAATTAATAAACCAGAATTACTCCAGACTTCCAGCAGGCAGCCCGTCTCTGCATGCCATCTCCAAAGTGTGGGCACTGGGGCTGGGGGCAAGGAGGGCTTAACTTGCCTTTGCCAGGTGCCTGGCCAGAGCAGCTCAGGGGAGGGGAAGGTGCCAGAGGATCCGTCCTCCCAGTTCCACCTCTCTGCTCAGACACATTGCGCCCTCATCGACACCAGCAGGTGCAAGCTCCCATCCAGGCATATTCTCTAATCAGGAAATCATTCCTCGTGATTTCCTTAGCCAGCCAGGACATGCTAAGGATGCCTTGGGACCCAAAACAACCCCGGGATGGCATTTATTAAGTAGCCAGGAAATGCCAGGTCCTCTTAGCTTCCTCACAAGCTCTCTGGATTTGTCTCTCCCTTCTCTCCCTCTTCCTCACCAGTCACCATTTGCTTTGCTTCTGGGTTGCCCCATCTAATGGTTTTGAAAAGTATATCCCTTGTCTGATTGTCAGTTCTTGGTAAGAGAGAACTAGGGTGGGAGCAAAATGCAAACCGGATTCAGAGAGCTGATATCATTCACATGGAAGTGTCATCCCATTATATTGCTTTGAAAACAGAGGCTACAAAGGTCAGCCAATCTCCTGCCAAGCCACACAAATGGAAGGTTCTAGATTCAGAGTTCTTAGCATCGATGTTCAAAGTCAGTGCATTTTTCATCACAACAAGCTTCTTTCTAGAAGTCAACAATGCTACTTACTACCTCTGCAATTCACAGCTAGAACCTCATCTGATCACCTTCTCATTCAGTAACATCAGTTGTGTGCCACCTCCATGCCAGCTCTGACTGCAATTTGGGAACACAATGGTGGGAGACACACTGAGCCAGCGCCCACTAGGAACTGACTTGGGCAGCAAGAGAGAACGACATAAAAAAATACTCAGAGAGGGCCTCCCCAGTGGCGCAGCAGTTGAGGGCTGGGTTGCGAAGCTGCCTGCGGCCTCTGCGGCGCAGGTTCGATCCCCGGCTGCTCCCCGGCCACTGGAGGAGGGTCCCACATGGCGCGCAGACCTCTCCTGCCGCCCGCTGCTCCCCTCAGCAGTGTACTTCGGTCCTTCTGCCTGCTCTGCTCCCCGCTCTGGCTCTGGTGAATGCTCTCACCCTCCCGCGCTTCTGACTGTACCCAGTGCATGTATAAACAAAAAACAAACAAACAAATAAATAAATAAAATATGCCTCTATTAAAAAAAAAAAATACTCAGAGAGATAAATGCATTCCTTTGCCTTTGATCAGGGCTACCCAGAAGCAAGAGCCAGGTTGATAAGAACTTGTTGAGTGAGGTTTGAGTGGTGAGCAAAGGCTTCCCAAAGAAGTAATGGTTGACACACTGTGAAAGATGAGTGTCAGTCATTGTACATCATACAGAGACGTGAATATGTGAATACAGAAGACTTTTCTGTCCTTACTCTATTTTCTTGCCACACATCTCCCCTAACCTGCTCCAGCCTATCTTGGCCCCTGTCCTTCCACCACACCCTGGGATTTAATGTCATAGATTTCAAGGACATTTGTAATATTCAATTTACTTGAGTTTTCACGCATTTCTGGCAGAGCTGGTCACACCTTTCTTTCCCTTGTCTTTTGAGATAGAGATTTTACTGGCTTTCCTCTTGCCTCTCTGTATTCTCCTTGAAAATTGTCTCACTTCAGTGTTTTCCTCTAAGTGTTCTTCAAGAATTGATCTTGGACATGTCTCTCTCTTATTTCATATCTTTCTTGGACAACCTTGTGCACACCACAGCATTATTTACACACTACTGTGGTGATTCTTGAATTTGATCTCTAGCCTAGATGTTCCTCTGGGATTCTAGATGTGTATTTCCAAATTGTGTGCTGACAGCTGCTCTTGGGTGTCTCAAAGGCAACTCAAACTTGGGATGATCATACCCGCTTTTGTCTTATGACCTTGACTCTACCTCAGCACCATCTATCCAATCTGCAAGCCAGATCCTTAATTAACATCCACGATCTTTTTTCCTCCTTGCCTCATGTGATAGATTGAACAGTAATAGCATCCAAAGATGGCCAGTTCCTAACCCTGCAACCTGTGAAGGTCACCTTATTGGAAAAATGAATGTTGAAGATATGATTCAATCAAGGAAACAAATTCCTTAAAACTCAAGATAGAGAGATTATCCTGGACTATCAGTTTAGTCCCTAGCAGAGGGAAGCAGAGGGGGATGTGATGGAAAGGAGGGAAGAAGAGCAGGCCAAGTGATGGAAGGGGAGACTGGAGCAATGCAGCCACAAGTCAAGCAATGCCAGCAGCCACAAGAATAGATTCTCCCTTCCACATCCAGAAGGAACCAGCCCTGCCAACACTTTGATTGTTAGCCCTGTAAGACTCCTTTCTGACTGCTGGCCACAAGACTGTTAGAGTCTTAAAGTCATTTGAAGTCATTTGTTACAGCACCAATAGGAAACTAATACACCCAGTACGTATGCCACCAAGTCTTCTTTATTTTGCTACTCCAATAATTTCCAGATGTACCTACTTTTCCCCAAAGCCACAGCCCCTCCCCTGATCATCTCTCAATAGCAAAGGTCATATCCTCTATCTTCTCATGGCTCCTAGGGTAGAAAGCAAAATCACTGGCTTGGTCCACATAAACTTGCTTGCCCTGCTCCCTGCCCTCCTTCCCAAGCTAACCTTGCACTTCAGACCCTCACTGACCTTTCCGTTGGTGGCAAGCACTAGTGCCCTATCTACCACAAGGCCTTTGCATTCCATTCTTCTTTATAACTGTAACAGCATCATATTCTTTCTAATTTCCAAGACTGAGCTTATTAACACATAACTATTATAATTTTACATTATTTTGTAGGATTTCATGGTTAATATCTAACTCCACCCCACAGCCAATGATCCTCAGCAAATAGGGAGAAAGAAAGGTCATGGCTGACTTTGTCCTCCACTGTATTCTCAGCATGTAGCATAATGCCTGGCACTGAGCAAGTGCCCTACAGAGACTCCCATAGCCCAGGGAGTGTCCATGAGGAGCGGGTCAGTGGTCCCAGGACTTGGTTTGCCCCAACCCTTCTAGCCATGCATGTAGAGAAAGAAGCATATCATGAGGAGGACTCGGCTGCACTCAACAATGGCCAAGGAAACTCCAGTGTGAGGGCTTCACCTTCCTCAGTGCCACCCCCAAAGGACAGGTGCTGGCAGGACTCTTGTTCATCTGGAGTCCTCAGGAGAGGATGTCTGGAGATTTTCTTTGCCACTTCACCTAATCCCTCTCCTATTCTAGCCCTGTGAAGCTCCTTGGCCATTTTCCCTTGGGTTTCTTTGATGAAAGCTCTTTGGAAATTGTCTAATATTAGGCCAAAGTCATCAAATAGCTCCCTGCTCCCTGGGGTTCACCTGAAGGCACATTCTACACCATTTGAGGTTGGAGATGGCTTTTCATCAGCCAAAGAAGCCTCTCTATCAAGTTCACATACCAAAAGTACTTCCACATAGGAAAGTTTGTTTTCTTTTTATTAATTTTTGCATAGAAGAACTGGGGTGTAGGCCAGAGGTATAGGGAGTGAGAGGATTCACCAGAGACAGAGTTGG